TTAAGCGAATCAGAGCTTTGTCGTTTCGCTTCACTTCATGCTTGCCCCAAACCTAAGTACAAGCGAAGTGAAAAAAAAAAAAAAGCAAATCGGGGCCATATCACAGTACCTGTAATACACTGTGTTGTCTAATAACCGATCCACCTAAAAGGTATAGCAAGACTTTGAGCAAAAAAAAGAATTTAAGCTGGGCAATTCAAATATACAACCAAGAAATCATAAAGGACGTAATAATGGTTTTTCCTTAACCCCTATTTCTTTGGCCCAATAATGTTTTGCATATTCTTTTTAACTGATGCTTCATGCTTCTTCTGGCATGAGAAGCAGTTTACGCTTTTATTCCTTTTTCAACAATCTTATTACCTTTACTGTTTCTGGCATGCAATTACAATCAACAACTTTTTTCTTCTTACTCCACCATCCATATCATATCATGTGATTCACTAGCAAGCTTCTCCACCAACCAGGTCGTGTGCTCCAAGATCTCAATCAAAAACTTTTTTCCCTACTGATAAAAACATAAAAGTTAAAAAATCTGAGTATCCAATCTAAATGTTAAGATAACAGATAGAGTAAGCAAAGACCTTTATATAATATTTGGATACCTTTACATATCCGATATGGGCAATGTTAATCATCCTTAACATTCTCCATCACATGTAACCCAATTCTAAGGTCTACACCTGCATTAAACCTTCTTTTCTTGTTCTTGCGACTTTTATTTTTTCACGAACATAATATTTAAATAAACGTGAAATAGTACAACAGATTAAAACATAAAGCTTGGCGCAGAGGCTCAATAATCCAAACAGTAGGCACGAGCTAGAATTAGTGGCTCGATGCTCTAAATTGGGAAAAAGACGCCTATAACAGCGATGATAGATAAATTAGGACTCCAGGACCTAAAGTACATAGAAACAAATGTCCTACCAACAACAAATCGGTGCTTCATACCTACTGCATTTATGTGAGGCCCATTGGACATTACTCCCACCGTCCCATTTTATGTGACATTGTTTGGCTGGGAACAGAGATTAAAAAAATAAAAGACTTTTGAAGCTTGTGGTTTAAAACAAATCATAGACATTTGTATGACTATCATCTAATTAAGAATAAAATGAGAATATTAAAATTAAATTATTTTTAAATATAAAAACATATCCTTCTTTTTAAAAAAAAATTTAAAAAAAAATATGCCACGAAGTTGGGTGGAAGGAGTACATTGTCCTCTTATTCGAGGGTTTAATCAAGAATCGTTAACACGCTTGAAAGCATTATGATACACATTAATCTATGAAGTAAGAGATGAGAAAGATAATTTATCTATACCTTTCTCTCGCCCACCCAACTCCCTATTCTTCTATCAGTAGCTGCCTTTTCCTAAACAGGAGTGCAAACTGTGGGTGTTTACCGGATGGGTTGAACCGAGCTGGATATGGGAAAAAATAGCCCGTCCGGTTAGTGGGCGGGCTGGTTAGTTGGCTGAGATATTCCGTATTTTGGTGGGCCCGTCCGGGTTCAGGCTTATCGGGTCTGGTTCGGGCCGGGTTAATTTTTTTTTTAGTGTATTATGTTTCCTTGTTCAATGTAATTGTTACATAAGTGTTTGCAAACTTTTAAATAATAAAATAAATATTTTAAGGCATAAAATTAAAGTTTTAAACTTTAAAGTTTAAAGTATTAAATTGGAAATTTAAAAATTAAAATTAAGTTGCTACATAAAATTATTTAATAAGACCAATATGTGTAAGAATCAAATTTCAAAGGCTTTCATTTCATACTTTCATTGCATAATAATACTTCAAATTAACTTGTCATATAAACTAACACATTAAACTTAAATAAGTCTAACAAATTCAAAATAATCCAAATTGATTCAAATCAACTTAAATACGAATTCCTGGAGGACGCACAAGACAACACTTGATATGCCTCCTTAAACCAGCTGTGCCCTCCCACTTTCGATGAACATTAAAGACTCAACAACAGTTCTTGCACTCTACTTTGCGAACTTCTTTATTTTTTTCTACCACCTCAAAGTGTTCCCAAATATGTGAACGCACTCTAGAAGCACGGGGCATGATTTAACTTGAACCTAATAAAAATGGTAACCACACTTCAATTGATAATTGTAATTTTGTAGTGGCTACCTTAAATAATTGATAAAACTTGAAATATTAATTAATTGAGAACTTGAGAGCACTAAACAATTCAATAATCAAAAGGGAATTGAGAGAGAATTAGAGTAGAAGAAGAGACCAAGTTGTGAAAAAAATGAAGAAGAAGAGTGCTATTTATAGTTATTAAAAGGCTAAGAATATAATTTATCAATTATTATGGGCTGGCGTGGCTATTTTAGTAAGGGGATAGGCCAAAATGGCTAAAAGTGTAAAAATGGTCGTTGCCCAACGATCATTATTTATTTTGACCGGTCAGAATTTAAAAAAAAAATTACAACATAAATCGGGCTGGACCGGGCTAGAAAGGGTAGCGGGCTAGCCGGGTTCCGGTGCACCAGTAGCCAAAAAAGACCTGAACCCGTGCGGCACAATACCCCTACCCTAGAGAACTCATCCCACTCCTTACCGAACCGGGCTGAACAGGGTTGTTAGTGGCCGGGCCGGCCCGATTAACACCCTTAGTGTAAACTAAAGGCCACTCTCTCCTATCTTGCCGTTTCCACATTCTTATCCTCGGACATATGACCCACCCTAACTTCCACCGATTCTATAAAATTTGCACTTCTCTTTGTAATCATAGCGCGAACTTACTGAGCCCACTCTCTCCCAACCTTCAGTTTCCTCATTTTCATCCTCTCCTTTGGACCCCATTGATTCCCATAAATGTTGCAGTTCTCTTTGTCATCATATATTCATAAGAGCAATTTTCGAAAGTAAAGAATTTTTTGTTTTTCTTATCCAGTTCGGGTTGTTTTACTTTGTCCACAGTTTCGGAGGAAGTGTGAATGGAAAGGAAAAGTGTGAACAGCACCACAGTCTTTAAACTCTACTGGGTCACACTTCTGGGAGACCCATGAGGTCTTCCAATTAGGGGTATTCAAAATCGAACCGAAATCAAAAATCGAACTGCAAAATTGGCTTATTGGCTTATTGGTATCGGGTTATCGGATTAACGAATGGTGAACAAATTAAAATTTTTTAATTAATGGCTTATCGGTTTGGGAGAGAATTATTCAATTTTCTTATCGGATAAACCATTAACCCGTTAAGAATTTTTATATTTTTTTTTTATCCTTATGTATATAATATCTCCTCCACTATTTGAAACACTAAAATTTAAATTCTTAATTTCTAATTTCTCTCAGCAGTCAGAAACATTCTCTCTCGCCGCTCTCGCCTCTCAGTCTCTACTCTCTACTCTCTGAACTTGAGGGTTGAAGCAAGGAAACAACTCAACCAAACTTGAGGGTTGAGGCAAGGAAACAACTCAACCAAACTACCAAAGGATTCCACAGAAAGGTCTCAAGGTCTCAACTTTAGTACTACACGTCTCTGAACTTGAGGCAACAACAACTCAACCAAACAGTTCTTGCGAGATGCGACACCAACAAGGCAACAACTCAACGAAAAGCCCGTTCTCTTCTCTAAGAATCAAATCACCTCCTCGTTTCCTCCATACAATCTATTTGATTTAGCCGATAAACCGCCTGATAATATCTAAACCGATACCAACCCACCCGATATCTTATCCGGTGGCTAGCGAATTAATACATTTACAAGCCGATAACCGTTAAGCCTAACTGTTAAGCGTAAACCCGATAAGCAGCGCTACTTCCAATGATATGACTATCTAGTAGGAGTATCTCCGGGAGGAAGAAGAGATTTCACGATGCTCCAGATGGTTGCCGCAGCCTCTGTGTTTTCACTTTTCACTTATGTACTTTTGATTTTCTTCATTTTGTTTTTCTTCTGAGGTTAATATTGTCAATCCATAATATTAGGGAGAGATGGAGCTAAACGGACAAAATTTTACTAGGAGAAAATAGAATGAGGTAAAAGAATTGAACATGTGGACAACTAAACTTTGTTAAGCTCACCTGCCAAAAGTGAAGCTCAAGTGTCACATCACATGACAGGACCAACAAAATGGGCATACTGAAAAGTTAAAGAACAAGCTGAATCAACTTATGCATGAGCATCTTAACCCCCAAAACATAAATTCATTAAATGTTCCAGACAAGTTCAAATATCTGTGCGGGTGAGAGAGAGAGGGGGGACTCTGGAAGAAAGCTATTCAAAAAAATGAAAGAGAGAAGAAGAAGGCAGTCCCGGGCACAAGATATCACGTGTTCACGCAGGGTCCAGCCACCCGAAGGGTTGTGATGTAGACAACCTCCCTAAAGCAAGCATTAATGGCTGCTTCCAGGGCTCAAACCCCTGACCTATAGGTCACGTAGATAACTTTACCATTGCTCCAATGCTCTCCTTTAATTATCATTCAAGACCATTTTTGAGTTGAAAACTAAAGCTAGTTATCATATTTTAAAAAGCAGCAGTCTAAAGATTACAAAACGAGCACAAGATGCAAATTGTGTTCTTTTAAATCATTTAAAGAAAATTGAGAAACTTCTCCCTTCAAAGAAAACTTAATTTGGTTCTACAAATGACCTTAACCACATTTCTTAACATAAACTAATTAGAGTCACAACAAAAGTATTTTACACCAAAAGATGTCTGCTACCATACTGAAAAGCTTCAAAATATAACTCTTATAACTGAAAAGCAATAAGTGACGCTCTCTATAAATGTGAATAACTATAGTAATGCAGATAATATGACCATTCAGATACATGTCCTATCAATGCAACAAAAACATAAAAGGATATAAAATACACTATGCAACATTATTTCTTGGAAAGGAAATCAAAATACCTAAGAAGAAAAATCAGTTAGCATTGTTACTCATGTTCTAAAGAGTTAATCAACAAAAAAATTATATTTAGAACCCTCTGCCAACTTTCTAACACATTTGGCATTCGTTTAAGATAAAGGGCTTTTGGCACTTCTATAGAAGGGCAGCAGCTCATCCCTAGCATTCTCCGGATGACAATATATAAAGTGCTCCATGAACCGCTTCTCTGTCATCCTCAATGCTGTGAAAACCGTAGGACCCTTGAACTGGGGGAGAAGCCCCATACTTTCTATCTTTTCCCCTAAAAGAAATCGTGGTTTAATAACGGTATCCAAATTCAATAACAGCAAACTCGGTTTGTTAAGTACTACACTGGTAGATAGCTTCACAGTGCCTATTACAAAATCCATATTCCTTTTCACTTTATCAATGGAAAGCGTGCTCACGAGTGGTGATCTTCCGAAAAGCTGGAAAACCTCATCTTCCGGTAACCCGTTTTTCACCAAATTAGCCACCTTTTCACGGATAGTTACAACCCGCGAAACTAGAATCAATGCAACGACATACTTATACATCCGGGAACCCTTTTCCACCTTCGTTCTATGAATTAAATCAAGCTTCTTATCTTCTACAGAACTTCTTGAAATCATTTCAGGGCGAACCAGTAACATAGATACTAAATCACTTCTACTAAGACCCAAATTTTCATAGATTCTAATCACATGCCTAATTTTGTCGTCTAGATCATAAGTAAGCAATGATGGATTTCTCATAACAGCTTTAAGAAATACCTCATTTGACCCAAACAAATTTCTCAAAAATTGAAGGCGCTGTTCCCAGCAACCTTCGATTCGTCTGCGTAAGAGACCAGGACGGTATGTTATAATCTTTGTAAGGTGGGAGGATGTAATGCCCAAGTCAGTGAGTGTCTGGAGCTTTGATTGAAGAAGGGTCTGTGACATTCTGCGGGAAGATGCTAGGCGCTTGAAAATCTTGGAGATGTCATTTTCTGTGAAACCCCATTGTTTGAAGACGTCAGATGTCTCTTCTTGCTTAGTCAAAGTTGCCCCAAATTCTTCTTCTATGGTTTTAGCAGGAGGAGCCTCTGTGAAAAAGAATCTACTGGGGTTTAAGGCAGGGTGCTTCAGAGCGGAGATCTTGAAGTGCTGAGATGAGAAGAGTAGGAGATGCAAATGAATAAAGGCCATCGGTGTCGCCGGCGACGAATAGCGGACTGAGCAGAAGGCAGAACCTGTGGAAGTAGTGAACGAAGTCACAAACAAAAAAAAACACCAAATAGTCCTTGATGTAAAAGGATACGAAGGCCTTCGTGTTATAGTCCTTAATGTATGAAAATGTCACGTCCCAAACTCAGGGAGCGCCGCCGGCTCAACCGAGTGAACCCGGCCGAGCAAGCGTATTAGATTTTCTTCTACCCAAACTCATCCATGAAAAAAGAGGAGATGTACTCCATTAATCAAACTTTCAAAAGCTTTCATTAACAACTCCCCTTTCATATTCATTATCAACTTCATTCATAATTTCAAAAATATTACAAGCTTATAGAATTAACAAAAAATATAATTTCCAAATACCAACATTTCTAGTTCAATTCCCAACATCAACCACAACTCATAACTTGTCTACACAGCCTCTAAGTACAATAGAAGAGTAATAGGGAAATGCAGACAACAAGGCCCCTGATATACCTCAAAACATAGTTCGTGAGAAACAAAAGATACATGACCCCCGAAATAAAGGGGGCTCACCAAGTCAGCTGAAGGAAGTGTACCGCTATCACGCAACAATGTCGCCTGTTGTGGATCCACCTGCATCCATTAAAGATGCAGCGCCCCCGGCAAAAGGGATGTTAGTACTGTCGAATACTACTAGTATGTAAAGTTAAAAGTCCTCTTTCAAAATAGAATGACCATATAAGAAAAGACAACACATAGAAATGGCAAGTCACAATCAACAATATCCAAATGTCCAGTTATAATATAATAATTTTCAAAATACGAACTTCATATACAATATTTGGTTGGGAGATCATTAGCACCGATATTCCACCGTCTTTGTTATCACGGAGTCCGATCACGCCCGATCGGCTAGGTCATCTCCCCACGGACAATGTGGTTTGACAGGTGATGCGAAAGAAAGTTATTACCAAGAGTAGTACCATCATGTGCGCAACATGGCGTCCGATCTCCACCCGATCAGCTAGGCCGTCTTCCCACATATGCCGTGTGGGTTGACTTTTTCAATCCACAATTGTTACCAGTTTCATCCCAATTAAAGGGAATAATATCACAATTTCTCCAATATTTTAATTTCATCCCATACCGTTATAGTATCAGGCCAAATTTACCCCTACAATCAACAAACTTTTAAAAATAGCCCTTGATCTGTTAAGTAATTTACAATCTCCCAAATTTCATTTATTTAAATCACTTGTTATTCTTCTTGGTCCACTATTTTTGAAATAATTGGTATTTACTTGCTTTCTGAATTAGAGAAAAAAAAAATAAGAGAAAAATTATTAAATAATACAACCGAATAAACAAAGTATAGTAAATTAAAAAATCTAAATTAGGTAGCTTTTCTAAATTCTAAAAGTATTTACAACATCCCAATTTTATTAAATTCGTTGCACCGAATGTATAGAGACTTTTCAAGTATTATTGATTGGAGTTGAAGTTCCTCGGAGACTTTACATTGTCTAATTCAACTTTGCTTTAACTAAAGGCCTACACATTGTGTACTCTTAAGTTAGTCGATCGAACTCTATACTAACCAGGCAATGATAAAATATATTTGAATATACATGTACATACATGATGATCAGTTGCATATAATACACAATAAATAGACCCACTAAATTCTACGGTGTGTATATGATTGAAAAATAAATAAAATTCTAAACCAATTTAATTTATTACAAGAAGAGAAATAGGTGCATTGGTAATTAAAAAAAATTATGAATAATTTGTATAGTCTAGTAACTTTAGCATTCACATCAATAGTAATTTTTAAAAATAATGGAGCAAGAAGAACAAGTGATTTAAATAAAAAGAATTTGGGAGATTTTAGATTACTTAACAGATCTAGAGGTATTTTTAAAAGTTTGCTGATTGTAGGGGTAAATTTGGCCCGATAGTATAACGGTAGGGGTAAATTTAACCTGATAATATAACGGAGGTTAAATATAGACAATATATAGAAGTATATGGGTATATTTGGCCCTTTTCCATTCTTTTTACAATATTTAAGTTGATTTGCTTCATGCACGAAGATAGTACTTGATATTTCATGATTAACCTATATTTACTCTTGATTGATTGGTGATTTAATGTATCAGCTATGACATTTTTAATTATCATTTTGGTCACTACTCTATACAGTTTCCGATTGGTGATTGGAAAATATTAACAAGAAATGTTTAATTAAGAAATAAAAAAGGAACAACAAACAGGTAAAAGCGGAAGAAAAGGAATAGGCAACTGAAATGCAATTCAATGAAGAGACTGCTCCTTGCGTGCCCACTTATTTCTAAGTTGCTATTCTTTCAGTTTTAGATTTTTTGGTTTCTCATTTCTGAATAGAACCAAATTTTGGTAAAACCAGATGTTCTACATTTTAATCTAAATGAAATAAATATATCAAAATACCTGCTGAATACGCGTATTAATAACAAGTACACGAAGATTCATGTATTAGAGTTGCACATACATAGGCACACATTCTCTTTATTTATCTTCTTTGTTTTTTAAAAATATGCTAATGTGAAATTTGGTTCACCTAAGTTCTACATCTAATAAAAATATTTATATTTGTAACTTAATAAAATATATAATATTAATTAACATATATATATACATGAAAAATTCCATATATTCCATGTCGAATATATTTATATCAGTATCAATTATTTTACTAATCACTTTTACAACATATTTTTCCTAGGGAGATTATGAGGGATCAATTACAGCTTATACAAGATGGATGTATGGTGCATGGCTCCCATTCAATTGTGTCAATTATGACACTTTTGGAGCCTTCATTGACATTGTAGGCTAATTTGGTCTTGGAAGAAACCATTCATTTTTCATGAAGCTAAAGGCCTAATCTAGCTAAAGAAGTGGAAGAGACCAAAACAATTATGGCGGATCATAAAGTAGAATAGAACAAGTTTGGATTTTCATTACAATGGACAAGTTAAAGGCAAAAAATAAAAAATGATCATCAATGTGATGGTGAATACAAGATTTTGACCGTAGAAGTCTATGATGTTGATCCATTTATATTTTAGTGTTGAATTAGCTTGTCTAATGGAGGATTTTGTGCTTTCTACTTTTTAGTGTTTAAATTATATATGTGCTCATATATATTGTCTTTGTGGAAGGTTGATTTTGGTCCTTTTTTGGAAATATCACTTCACTTCAATGAAGCGCTTTGTACCGACCCGCATATTTTCCGCCTAAAGGGCTGCCAAACGAGCCAAACTTGGCTGCCAAAGACCAGAAGGTCTTTGCACATGGAGGCAACAATCCGACAGGCTGTCCGGACCCTCCTAGGGGCTACTTTTTTCCAGCAAAGTCACATGCAGCACAACTGGGCAGGACCACAGTCTGCCAGGACATTCATGGAAGCAACATGCTGCCAGCAAAGGCATGTGTTGCACAGCTAGGTAGGGCCACATCCTGTCTGGATGAACATGGGAGCAACTGCCTGCCAGCAAGAAGTGGGGCACAGCAGCTGGACAAGTCAATTGGCACATGGGCTGCCAACACCTTCCTGTAAATCTCATGAAGCCAACACAAAGCAGTGCACCACAGGCTGGACGGGCCCACAGCCAGCTTAGCTGCGTGTGGACATTTTTCTATATAAATAGGATACTTAGGCCTTGTTAGAAGGCATATCTCTTTACTTGTATTTCCTTCTTTTGTATATGAGATAAACCCCAAAAATTGGCCTTAGCCTCCCATCTTTGTGTCTTTCATTTTGTTATCCCTCCAACCTTTGAGTTAGTGTGATTGCCTTGGTCCAAAGCACGATTTTGTGCTTGTTTCTTGTTAAGGGCTGAAGCAAGAGTAGTAGTCAGGCTATCTTGCTGCCCTCGCCGAACCCCCAAAAAATGGGTCCGCGACAAGTGGTATCGGAGCTAAGGTTATCGACCATGACAACTAATGGAGATAACGTCAATTTAGACAACATTCGTGGCAGAGACGAGTCACCAAAAAAGTGACAGAAACCAAAAAAGAGAGGAATAAGCAAAGTACGAGATCCCGCCATAGCCGTAACAAGTGAGGTGCCAACTTTATTGCTGCCCCCACAACAGGTTAGCCGTGGTGAAGATTGTGAGGCTTCTTCCTCAAATCCTTTAAACGTGAGAATGGGTCTCACAGAAGCTAGTTTAGATGCTCTAAACCAGCACATGGGAGATGTTCTGCACAACATCCAAGCACTTGAGTCTACGACTCTAGATGGACTAGAAGAAGTCAAAGAGTCGGTAGATCAAGCAATTTTTTAGCACAAGGAAGGACTGACCAACCTTGAGCTTAAGCTAATCGAGGATGTATCAGCGTTGCACAGGGAAATTGAAATCCTAAAGTAACAACTGAAGGCAGTAGAGTTATCCGGTGGCACTGGTCATGTGACAGTGCGGGAAACCAAGATCAAGGGCCCAAAATCGAAGGAGTTTAGGGGCGAACGAGATGCTCAAGAAGTAGAGAACTTCATCTGAAAGATGGAAGACTACTTTGAGCACCTTTGCATCGTTGATGAGGCTGCCAAGATTCGGGCAGTAATGATGTATCTTGCCGATACTGCCATGCTTTGGTGGAGACGGAAGAAAGCCGACATGGAGAAGGAAACTTGCTCCATCAAGAGCTGGGTTTAGTTCAAGTTCGAATTGAAGCGCTAGTTCTACCCCCAAAACGTTGTCAACGAGGCACGTAGGAAGTTGAGAGAGCTCAGGCAAACAACTTCCATAAGAGAGTACGTGAAAAGTTTCACGAAACTCATTCTGCAAATTCCAAACTTAGCAAGCGATGACTTGTTATTCACTTTCATCGAGGCCTTCAAGACTGGGCAAGGCAGGAATTGCAGCGACGTCAAGTCTAAGACTTCGATGAAGCTATCGCGGTGGCAGAGTCCTTAAATGATTATAGGACAGAAGCCACAAAGGCAAGGGATGCCAAATTCCAACCAGATGGAGACCATGGATATCGGGACAAGGGTAACCAAATTGCTGCCTCTAACCGCGATTCCAGAGAACAAGGCAACAAGGCATATTGGCGCGACCGGTACAACCAAAGGAGGAAGGAAGCTGGTCCCCGCAATGGTTGTTATATCTGCAAGGACATTAGTCATGGCTACAAGGATTGTCCTTCTTTGAAGAAACTCGGTGCCATAATTATGGCCGAGCGAAGGCTAACAGAGGAAAGGATTCAAGCTGATGAACAAGCCAAAGCAGAAGTTCAACAACCGCCATACGTAGCTCATCTTGGCAACATGGTACTAGGAGCAGTAGTAGTAGAAAAGCCTGCTTTGAAGCAGACAGCCTAAGTTAAGCATGACATTGTCAAACTAGTTCACAATTTAGGCGACGATGTGATTGGCAAGGAGCGCCAGTCAGGAGAACTGGGATCACTGTTCGTGGAGGCATAATTAAATGGACAATCAGTCCGTATCATGTAGACACCGGTGCGACACACAATTTTGTGTCCGAAGTAAAGGCTAAGTCACTTGGCCTTATGTTCGGTCCTAGCAGTTCTGTACTGAAGACGGTGAATGCCAAACCCACCAACGTGAAAGGGATCGCCCGCAATGTGCAGTTCAACTTAGGAACTTGGCATGGAAACGTGAGTTTCTTTGTCGCTTCCCAGGATGTGTTTGATCTGGTACTGGGGCTGGACTATTGGGATGCAGTGAAGGCATTCATATGCCCATTTCTCAACCAGATCTACATTTATGACCCAAGGGGTCCGTGTGTAATACCGACAGTTCGGGTACCGCAAGTTGTTAGTTTGCTGTCCGCGATTCAAATCGTAAAAGGCTTCAAGAAAGAGGGAGCACCGGTTTTGGCAGTCGGGATAGGGACTAAGGATGTCAAGATAGACAAAGCCTTGACTCCTTCTGAACAACGAGTCCTTAAGGGTAAGGACTTCATTCCGTGGGCGAAGCCGCCTGCCATGGGTCCGTACATGGCACCTCCAAAGTTGGAGGATTCAAGGAAGCAACGTGGAAAGCAACTTGGGTCGAGGCATGGCAGTCCGTTAAAGGCACCTTGTAGAGACAGGGGTGATATGGAGCGGAGGCAATCCAGGCGACCAAATATTTTCACAAGTTCTTGGGTCGTCGACAAAAAGGTCGAAACCATTATCAAGTATCGGGTGATACAAGGAGTAGGTTGGGGCAATTCAAGCGCCCAATTTCTTGTCCGATGGAAAGGGCAACCGCCAGAAGGGGCAACGTGGGAAAAATATGAGGCATTGTGGCCGTTCAAAGATCAAGTTCACGACTACTTGAATCGTTGTGGTGCCGAGGTCGTCGCCATTTCAAGTGGGGGAGAGTGTACCGGCCCGCATATTTTTCGCCCAAACGAGCCAAACTTGGATGAACATGGGAGCAACAGGTCTTTGCACATGGAGGCAACAATCCGACAGGCTGTTCGGGAAGGTCTTTGCACATGGAGGCAACAATCCGCCAGGCTGTTCGGGCCCTCCTAGGGGCTACGTTTTGACAGCAAAGTCACATGCAGCACAACTGGGCAGGACCACAGTCTGCCAGGACATTCATAGAAGCAACATGCTGCCAGCAAAGGCTTGTGTTGCACAGCTAGGTAGGGCCATATCCTGTCTGGATGAACATGGGAGCAACTACCTGCCAGCAAGAACTGGGGCACAGTAGCTAGACAAGTCAATTGGCACATAGGCTGCCAACACCTTCTTGGAAATCACATGAAGTCAGCACAAAGCAGTGCACCATAGGCTGGACGGGCCCACAGCTAGCTTAGCTGCGTGTGGACATTTTTCTCTATAAATAGGATACTTAGGCCTTGTTAGAAGGCAGATCTCCTTACTTGTATTTCCTTCTTTTGTATATGAGATAAACCCCGAAAATTGGCCTTGGCCTCCCATCTTTGTGTCTTTCATTTCGTTATCCCTCCAACCTTTGAGTTTGTGTGATTGCCTTGGTCCAAAGCACGATTTTGTGCTTGTTTCTTGTTAAGGGCTGAAGCAAGAGTAGTAGTCAGGCTATCTTGCTGCCCTTGCCGAACCCCCAGAAAATGGGTCCGCGACAGCTCGCTTCGCTTCATGCTTCACGCTTTAAGCGAATCAGAGCTTTGTTGTTTCGCTTCACTTCATGCTTGCCCCAAAACTGAGTACAAGTGAAGTAAAAACAAAAAAGCAAATTGGGGTCGTATCAAAGTAACTGTATTATACTGTGTTGTCTAATAACGGATCCACCTAAAAGGTATAGCAAGACTTTGAGCAAAAAAAAAGAATTTAAGCTGGGCAATTCAAATATACAACCAAGAAATCATAAAGGACGTAATAGTAATTTTTCCTTAACCCCTATTTCTTTGGCCCAATAATGTTTTGCATATTCTTTTTAACTGATGCTTCATGCTTCTTCTGGCATGAGAAGCAGTTTACGCTTTTATTCCTTTTTCAACAATCTTATTACCTTTACTGTTTCTGGCATG